GAAAATCCTAGATCAGAAGTGTTCAACCAGAGCCTTTTTCTGGACGGACTCTCAGGTCACCTTACATTGGATCAAAGGTCCAAGCCATAGATGGAAACCCTTTGTTGCGAACCGGGTTCGCGAAATCCAATCCCTCACCGATCCTAACTCGTGGTTCCACTGTTCCGGCAAGGACAACCCAGCAGATCTACTTACGAGAGGAATCAGCGTAGACGCTCTTACAACCAACTCCAAGTGGTGGAATGGATCCTCGTTTCTACGTCAAATTGACTTCCAGACCAAAGGACTAGATGAAGCGATCCCAGAAAAGAGTGTATTTAACGGAAATGAGAAAGAACTCAAATCCAAAAAGAGGACATTTCCTTGACATTGACAGTGACTAAAAACAATTTCCTTGAAAACATTATTGATATTTCAAACAACTATGTAAAATTAATTCGTGTTGTAAGTTTTCTTTACAGATTCATACACAACTGCAGAACCAGAATTACAAAGATAAAGGGACCCCTTACTTCACAGGAGGTAAGTCATGCTGAGAACTGGCTGATCCACTCATTGCATGAAAGGGAGTTCTATGAAGAAATGCGCAAATTGTTGGCAGGTGAGCCTATTCCTATGAAAAGCAAATTAACTCCACTTAATGTTTTTCTTGATGAGAGCAACATCATTAGAGTAGGAGGCAGACTTGCAAATTCAAATTTAAATGAGAAGGCTAAATTTCCCATGATTTTACCTAGTAGAAACGTTTTAACTGATATTATATTGAGCCATTATCATAAAAAATATTTGCATGCAGGACCCCACTCACTTTTATATCTTGTTCGTCAAAAATTCTGGCCACTCAATGGCAGAAATAACTGTCGTAGAATTATTCATGAATGTGTGAATTGCTTTAAGAACAAGCCCATCACTATGAATCAAATTATGGCTAACCTACCGAGAGATCGTGTAACACCGAATTATCCCTTTAATGTCACGGGCGTTGATTTTGCAGGCCCATTCTTCATTAAGTTTAAAAATCAAAGAAAAGGGGCATTAAATAAAATTTATGTAGTAGTCTATGTATGTTTATGTACAAAAGCAATTCATTTAGATTTTGTGACAGATCTCACATCCCAAGCATTCATTGCAAGTTTAAAACGTTTTTTGGTAGGAGAGGAAAGTGTGCAAAAATCACCACCGACAACGCTAAAACATTTGTTGGCGCAAATGCCGAAATTAAAAATTGTTCAAAATGATTAAATTACCTGATCACACATTAGCAGAATTTTTGACAAATGAATCGATAGAGTGGAATTTTATCCCACCCAGGTCCCCAAACCATGGAGGGCTATGGGAAGCAGGAGTAAAGGCATTTAAATTCCACTTAAAAAGAGTCGTGGGGAACGCACATTTAACTCTCGAAGAGTTCATCACAATACTTTGTGAAATTGAGGCTGTGCTAAATTCCCGACCACTCACTCCTTTGACGTCAAATTTCGATGATTTTGAAACACTGACCCCTGGACACTTCTTAGTAGGTAGACCTAACATCCATAGTTGAACCGCAAATAACTAATATAAACGAGAATCAGTTGTCGAGATGGGAAAGAGTAAAAAAAATTACCCAACATATATATAAGCTTTGGAAACGCGATTATTTGAATAATTTACAAGAACGTCACAAGTGGAAATTTAACAAAAATAATGTTTCTGTAGGAACCTTAGTTTTAATCAAAGATGAAAATCTTCCTAGTACGAAATGGAGTACCGGAAGAATAACTGAAATTTTTCCTGGCACCGATGGTAAGGTGCGAGTTGTGAACCTGCGTATGCCAAACGGAAATATATTAAAAAGGACAATCAGAAATCTTTGTATATTACCTGTATGAATTTTGTTATTAGTAATTATTGTATGTGTATAAATTAACTTCAATCGTATTTAAGTATCATAAAAATTGTGTATTTTTCATTTAAGTACTGTAAATATTGTGTATTTTCATTTAAGTACTGTAAATATTGTGTATTTTTCATTTAAGTACTGTAAATATTGTTTTTCATTTAAGTACTGTAAATATTGTGTATTTGCATTTAATATTGTGCATGCCTTTTTGCTTTGTAAATATTGTGTATTTTGTATGTAAGTATCGTCAATTGCATTATGTATTTGTATTGAAATTTCATTTCAATGGCGGGGACTCTGTTACGACCCGCATGTGCAGAGGGCGCTAGTAGTCCTCCTTGTTTACATTTCGTCAGTATGCTTGTAATGCATCCTCGGAGCGGACGTACCTACCGTCCTCAATAAACAAACAATTTTTAAAGTATACAGTCCACGCCTTTTGCTTGAGCAGTCAAGTTATACATAACTCAAAGTCTGCTCATAATCCGTTCTAGACATTTCTAGAATAACCACACCATTTGTGGTTAAAATCTATCGACCTCACCCAACCTTAAATTTTAAATCTTCACTAAAAACTGCTTTTAGAGACATAATTTGATTTGGAAATTCACTAGATAGGTCGAGGCTATATACTTTTTGAAGATTACTGAAAAGCTCCTTCATTTGGCATTTTTTTGGAAATTACCTTCTGGTTGGTAAAGGCCCAATTTTAAAATTTATTCCCTTAAATCTGCATCTATGGGCGTACCTACATAATGCGCAAAATCATTTCTAATCAATTTTGTTTCTTCGTTTTCATTTTCCGACTCCTTTTCTTTGGATAGAGTATCCTTATTAGTTGAAGTGTCTGAAACTGTGTTTTTTTCTTGTGGATTAATTTTCACTTCCAGGATTTGTTCATCAAGTTCTTTGGCATTACTAATACTAGCACTTGCACAAGATGATAAACTTGCGGATATAAAAAAGTTATCCAATTTTGCAATTTGCTATTAATATTATATGAATTTTTCGTTTTTGATACACTGTTTTTAACTCACTTAGGGCCGCGTTTCTTCTTGTCTTATTAACAAAATAACAGTATAAGAACCAGAATAATTAATTCCGTTTACAAAAAAACAGTTCTAATATTACAAGAGAGAAGTGAGATCAAATGTTTAGCAGCGAAGGAACACTCCCTATATTGAAGAATATAAAAATATAAAGCATTGAATCATTATGCTTTTAAAAACTCATAAATGTTGGGCTAAAATCAATTTGCAATCATTTAAAATGCTCTCTATGCGTTTTTCAAGTATCGCAATTTGCATTTAGCTAAAGACGCCAATAAGTTATGCAACATGTCTTTTTCTCCCTACCGCTAACATATGGATTTCTAAATCATAAATGAAGCATTTAAAATGCTCTCTATGCGTTTTCAAAAATACTAGTATAACAGATGTACGTTATTTCGTCTAAATGAAAATGCGAGCTAAAGACGATTACTTTGCAACATGTCTTTTTCTTAAAATGCATACTAAAAAAGTATCTTTTTCGCGGGGATTACAGCAAATTTTTTTTTTTTAATTTGGTTGGATCTAAGATATCTAATAAGCGATCAAAGTTTTGATTTTGAATGATGTTAGATCGCCAATTTGAAAATCGCTTAAAAATTGGATTAAAAAAAATGTAAGGCTAATTTTGTGAAATTTTACGTTAATGGCGTCAGTCTAGCTTTGGGCCCCCTAGAAGCCTTGCCCCCCTCCGCAGTGCGGAGGTTGCGGGGGTGTACGTTACGCCACTGGTCCACGGAGAATATAAGTGTCTCCCCTGGCGATGAGGCGTGTACGTTACTCCCACTGGACCCCTGCAAAGTCAGGTTTAGGGCTACAAGCCGGATCTTTCAAAGGATTGCGTACTTGGCGTCAGTTAGGCTGTGGTCCCCCTTGAATCCTGGGCCCTCTTACCATGCGGGGGGCCCAGGCCATGGGTTACCGAGGCTTGGTACAATCCATTTTCTCAACGATGCTAATTTTTGTGACTCCTCTGAAATGGAGAACAGAAAATGATAAAATTACATTATTAGTCTGATCTCAATGGCGAATTCTAGATACTAAAAAAACAATCAAAGATAATCCTAGGAGTTTTATCAAGCAGTTTTAATTTACATTGTCATTTACGATTTCATGCTAAAATATTAATGCAAAAAGCTTAGCTTTCTCGGCACAAATTTCCTTAAAATTTTTTTTTCTTTTGCTCAGCACAGAAAAACTTAATTGAATGAATGATACATGTTCTTCTCTGGCGCGACAACCCTAGAAGGGCTCTAGCCTTATATTCAAAATTCCATTCCATGCCTTCCCGTTCTTGGCGAAGGTTTTACAATTTGTAACCTTCATAATTTTCAAGTCTTTTTTCTAACAGTCATTCCACTTAAGATTTGGTCTCTCTCCTTTTTGAGTACCAAATGGTTTAGCAAAGATATTTATAATGGCTCCATTGAACTTCAATCTTATTAAGCATCCTTCCCATTGAATCCTCTATATTTATATAAGTTTAATAATATCTGGCTCTTGAAACAGTTTGAAAAGTTTTGAATTAGGTTCTTCTCCAATACAATTATCTCATTCAATTTCCTTTATGCTACTTACATCTTACTCAGATTCAATTCGTTATTTAGTAGGAGAGAATGTGATGAAGAAAAATTATTAATAAAGATGACATTTTTAAAGATAGCCGGCGGTGAAAACCACGTGATTATTTTGAAATAAGAAGTCTGATTGGGTAATATGGGCGGGAAAGGGGTATCTCATACTAGTTGATTACGATTAAGATTAAGGCATTAGTTTTGAACCAAAGAATTAAAGCTTGTTTAAATATTATTAAAAATAGTTAATTAAAAGGATGCTAGAGGGAATTATTACACACACATATATATATATATATATCTTGTTCAAATTATTAATCATTAATAAAATACTTTTTATTCATCCACTCAAGCTCAAATACATTTTTTTAAACATGAAGTGGATGACACTTGACGTTTATACAATTTTTTCAAATAATAATTCATTAATTCTATTTCATTAACGAATAAAATAATAGTTCAACAACTCATACGAAAAGGAAAATCGCTCGTTGTATCCTTGTAGCGAAATGGATAGCGTATTGGATTTCTAATCCAAAAGTCCTGGGATCGAATTCCACCTAGGATGGTCAATTTCTGAGAATGGGATTTCTTTTTGAAATTAATATTTTGTTAGAATAACTAAATTTGATTAATGAATAAATAGTAACAAACAAACAAAAATAGTCCGTTGAAAGAAAAATGGAAATTTGCAAAGAAAATCGCTTTCTTTTTTGAAATTAATATTGTGATTCTGTCTTATGTATATACATATTGATATTAATTGTAATTATTTGATAAAAATTAACTAAAATAAAATTTATCTTTGTTGACTTAAGTAGGGGAATTGACTTTTTTTTATATTACTCGTTCCTTTCATTCTATGTGCTCGTGACATCCGATTGCCACTATGTATCTGTAACATCTTTCTTTGCATTAGACCCTTTTATGTTACAAAAATCAACTATTTCGCCCATCTGTCGAATTCTTGTAATAAAAGGTCAAACGAACTTATTCCGCTGAAAAAATTTTCGTTCCATTTTTTTCAAAGAACTTTAACCTTTTTGGTAAAGGTTAAGGCCTCTGCAAGAATGCGAACCCAAACACGGAACGTTCGAATACCTGCCATGGCACCTCACGAACAATAAAACCCTGTGGCCCCGTTACGCCTGCTGGAGGAAAAAAAACTATGGTGAGCTGAAGCCACCCTCTCCAACACGGCACAATTATTTTTGGATGGGAGACAACCATGACAATACTTTATTCCGAGGGGTCCTTGGCCCCACAAGGGCATGGGAACTCTTCCCCTTTTTCTGCTTATGCGCAACCATGCACCGTCTCCCCTTCTTCTCAAACATGGTGAAAAAGCTCTGGAACATTTTTGCCTATTACCAACCATTTTTTATGCACAGCCATGCAAAAGTGCAGGGGACTTTTCTATGGCTTTATTTCTCGTCTCCCCGTTTCACCTTCAACTTGAGGTTGATTCTTTTTTTCTTCTTTTGCATCATCACAAACCTTCCCCCTTTTAACAGCCTTGCCCTTCATATAACCTCCCCGTACTTTTTCTTCTGTCCACTTTTTCCGCGTTTGTTTGTTTCCGTGGAGGGCAGCCAAGGATGCTTTTTGGAAGGGGTGCTTCGTTTTTTTCTTTTCTTTTCATGATGATTCACTACTTCTTTTCTTCTCTCCTTCTTTCGTACTCGTCATCAAACAAGAGATACGTCATTGTGTACCAAAGTCGCCTCTTCGTATTTTAGGGTTGGAACGAGTGGAAAAAAAATGTTTGGGAAGAGTAAGAGTAAAATCAGTTCGTTTACTTCTCGACAATTATGCAGTCTTTTTGCCAAGTGGAAGGTAGCAATACGGGTGCAATGGTTTTTCGAACATTTTGCCAAGAGTAGAAGCCAACTATCTAGTCGCAGATGCTTGAAATGCCCGTAACGAACTATTTTCAGATCGAACAATTTGGTTTTCTTCCTACAATAATATTGTTGAAAAATCTTCTAACTTAACTAAGTATAAACTATCTTTAAGTAAAAGAGTTCTATTACTTTCTTGATATAGTAGATCAATGATGGGCAACCTGTGGCACGCAGTACAATTCTCAGAAGCACTCTGCAGAACTCTACAAATTTGTCAATTTTTGAGTGGATGGAAGTTGATAAATTTGTAATGGAACTCATTTTATACTCATCTTCAGAATTATGAACATTTATGCAATTATGAAAATATCTGAAAGATAACTCGAAAGATAAATGTACAGCTATTTTGTAAATTATTGAATATCATTGCTGGAGATATTTAATTGTTTGAAGAGAAAACTATACGTACTCTGCTTCTCGTTTTTGGTTCTACATACCTAAGTAAAAAAAATCTTTTCTCATATGAAAATATTTCGAGTACGCAAAGAAATTGTTTAGCAATTGAAGGCTGAAAATGGTGTCGAATTGAAAACCACACATTATACCCCTGATTTTAAGATATGAAAGCAGATCGGTGAAAGTACTCGGTTCTCATTAAAATTTTTATTGATTTTTTATTTAAGTATAATGAAAGGAAATACTTATATCTTAATGCTGTCTATTTTTTTTATTGTAATAAATACGTTTAAAAATACATAATTAAAAATACATAATATTTAATTTTTTTAATTTTTTGTTGAAGAATTAGTTATATGTTATACTGCTTATTTTTATGTTAAGAGCTATCTTTAAATGATGCCAAATTAATATGTAATAAAAGTGGTAAATCTATATTATTGACCTCTATTCTCTAATTCTGCATGGATTATCCTGATAATCGAATTGCTTAAAAAAATATCCTGCTTTGGGGCACGCTGAATCATATTCGTAGATTGGTTTGGCATACTACAGTTAAAAGGTTGCCGATCCCTGTGGTAGTAAGTGATAGAATGCATGACTTAGGGAAACATGCAATCCTTATTAAAACTATTTTCATACAAAGAAATGAGACTATTTTCTCTTCGCACTCACGTTCAAATTAACACTCAAATTTACTTTAAACTTTTATTTTCACGCACAGGTACAATGTTGTTAAAGAGTGAGAGCTTATTAATGTCCCATCATGAAGATATATGGGAGTTATTGCTCGCAGTTTTAATGAAATTCCTCCTCGTAATTTTAATCTTCGATTGATGAGAACGACATCTAAGTTGACACCCACCCCCCTTCTTCAAACTTCCTCACCACGCCAACGGGAAGATTTTCTGCTTTGTGATACATTTAATATGCATCAGCTCCTCTACACTGCGGTACTTCAGTGGCTTCAGGTCTCGAATCCTTGACACGTCTTCTACGAGTTCGTTCGTGAGTGATTATTAACGTCGCCCTATTCAGCTACATTAAGGCTTTCGGCGACGGACGAAGTGACGAGGACGTCACCTCTTCTAACTTCCACACTACACCAACGAGGGGACGTTTGAGCCTCGACATATTTAACGTGCATCGGCCGCCTTTTACTTACTTACTTACTCCAGAGAATCGAGCTCACCCAAAAGGTTTAGAGCTGCATCCGATCCTCCGAGAAGTTATTTTATTATCAAATTAAACGAAAAACATGCACAAAAAGGTCCCGAATGAGGGACCCTCCCCCCAAAAATTCTTGAGAACCGGGAGAAGAATACAGCAAAAGCACTTTACAGTTACAATGCAAATGAAAAAAACCACACACAAACACGAACACACACAGGTGCTATCTTTTGATGAGAAGGAAAGACAGACCCTGAAACAGACATAGGACACGAGGGGAAACCACTCCAAAAAGGGAATGCGAAAATAGGGAGGGAAGGAAAGTTAGGTAAGGCGATAGCAGGCCCAAACATATATACATATATTCTAATATATTGTTGGGAAGACTCGTGCGGCAACAGTCCAACTTTCTTACAAATTCAATAATAATAATAAAATTACCCAAAACAAATGCACCAAACAGACCAAAAGGGGGGAAAAGAGAGAGAACCTCCACACGGTGGGTCTTCTGCGTTATCACGCTCGAACTCATGACATGCCAACCACAAGTCCGTTATCTTGACTACTGGGCTACCGTGACCACAAATATCGCTGGCGAAAAGTTCTGCTAAAATGCAAATCATTTGAATCAATTAAATCTCATTTCATCACTACCGATACTGTTATCTTGCAATAAAATTGACTAAAAAAATACATAGCAATTTTAATTTATAAATTTTTATTATCTATAATCAAATCGAGATTAGGAGAGAGAGAGAGAATTAAGAGTAAAAAAATCATTTGTGAGTATCTGTTTTAAGAGTTTCTTTTAAATTTCAATTGTTATTTCTTTTGTGATTGTGTGTTTGACTAAACATTAGTACAAAAGGAAAAATTCCATTCAGTATTGTTTCTAATAAAGAAAAATTGAGATAAAATATTCCATATATAATCCCTTAAATGGTTTGCCCGTACATTATACGGGCTGATGAGAGCTGACCACAACCGGCTTGCCCGTACGCTGCACGGCCACAGATATTTTCCTCTTTCTATCTTTGATTTGTGCATATTTTTCATTCATATGGTGAGATTAGGAGTGCTAGTGTGTTTAAGAGATGCAGTTTGTCTATGGTAATGTGATCAACCATCCTCCTTTTATAGGTTCTGTCCTTCCTCGAAAAGTGTCCTCCTTTTCAATATTTTAAAATTGATCTGTTTATCTCTGTATTCAGAGTTGAACCAAAAATGTTTCCACAATTTTGAAGAATGGTCTGAAACAAATATCACAAGAAATAACTGTTTTCAATGGTATTTTTTGTCGCAAATAAATTGGGCAGATATAGAAGATTGTGTTAAGTTTTTATCGAAAGAAATGCCTGATATTAAAATCGATGACAATTGTCTGTTTGAAGTAGAAAGATGACTGGATGTATATTTAAATTCTAATAAATTAGAACAATTGGAAAATCAACGTGCTGAGAAATTGGTAAAAGATGGTAGAAATTACTTAAACCATTTAAAAATGAACACATTCCTTATGAAAATGTAATTACTCTTGTTGAATTTACTTTGTGCTGCTCTGGAACTAATGCACCAGTTGAAAGAGTCTTTTCGATAATTTTTGGACAAATGAGAAATCAAGATTGAATGTTGATATTTTAGCTGCAGTACTTACAGTAAAGATGAAGGATATTTTTTGCTCCGAAATTTCCGATATATTAGAAAATAATAAATCGACAAACAAAAAATTATTGAATGGAAAAATAATCGTTTAAGATAATAATTAAACAGAATGTAAGCGTAATTAGCGTATTTTTGTTTCAATTAATCAAGCGCTTCTCTCTTAAGTTGTAATTGTTTCTTAAACTTGTCGTCCTCCTTTTTCATTGTAAAACAATGGTCATCTATTTCATTGTATCTATGGTATTGAAACACTCCTTATCCAAGATTTTCTTTGTGGTAAAGAGGGGATTTTTGATTGAAGGCAGAAATTTAGATTCTTGAAAATATTCGATAAAGAACAGGAATTAGCAAGGCAATGTGCCTTTTATTGCCGGAGAAGAAATGAAAATGGAAAGATAATTTTTTAAAAAAGGCGAATATTATTTCTGTCCCCATC